ATTCCTAGAAGTGTTTGGGAAGTATAATAGAGGGTTGTAAGTGAATAAAGAAACTGGAGTTCGTGTTGATTTTGAAACAGAAAGGAAGTGAAGGAAGAAAAAGGAAAGGAAAAGAAAAGAAAGGGTCCAAGAAGTAATTTTAACAAGGGCCCTCCTAAACCAGCTTTCAAAGAACTCCAGTGCCCAGGAAGAGAGGTCAGGAAGAGTTCACCTGATGAGTAAGACTTGACTTTCTTGGAAGGAAAGGATTTGGGAAAAGTAAGTCACAAGGTGAAAAAATGAAAGGAAAAGGGGGAAAAGGAAAGAAAAAGAGAAATATTTTCTACCTGTGGCATTCCAAAAGGTGGAGAACTGAGCCAATATGCAAATAATGGATTAATATCTCAAAAAATTAAATGAAACATTTGATTCCATACTTATTTGCCCAAGCAGAATGATCTTTGATTGTCTGCAATGTGGGGTGTGGAGCGGTGTGGGTGGGAGGGAGGAGCAGGGGGAAAAAAAGACCCCAATTACAGAATTTAATTTCCTTGCAGAAATCTGAAGGAAATTATCAACCCCAATTAACAGTCCAGTCCAGTCTAGAAACTAAAATATGTGAATTTCAACCAAAGGCAAAGAATCTAAACATAAGTTGACTAAGTTTTGCCTATGGCATCTACAGTGATCAACTTAGATTTAACCAGTTCTTGGCTTAATGTTAGAGCTAGAATTTGGACAGATTGGGGGGGGGGGACACGAAGTAAGAAGCTACTGAAGATTCCTACCAAAGTCAGGAAACTAGGAGGTACCTAAACTTTTAAACAATCCCTGTTTTTGACCTGATTTGTTTCTCGTCACACTGTTTTTAGTTACAGTTCAAAGTAAATTATTCAAAAATAGCCATAATTCCTATGAAAAATGAGGGCATTTCTTCCAATGCTATTTGCTTAACCAGAAGCAAAAGGGGGGGGGGGGAAATCCCTTCATTCCAGCAAACCCTGAATTACACTGAACACTGAACAAGATTATGGCTGAAATTATTTGTCCTTCTAGTGAGGTGTCGATCTGCTAAGAGATGTAAAAACAGCTAAGAGGATTTAAGCCACGCAAATTTAATAAAATTAGATTAGTTGCATATACTTTTTACACTGTTAGAGATCCTAAATTCATGGCACCAGAGAGCATCTATTAGACTGTATCAATAGTAGGAAGAACTAGGATTTCCAGATGATGGATTTCTATTAGTATCTCAACCCAACGCACTTTCTATTTACAGGGTACCTCACAGAGAACAAATTTGAAATAAAACTACACTTTCAGAATCTACTGTGTTACCTGTTGGGCAAGTCCCCTTTGCAAAAGAGACCATTTATGAAAAATAATAAAAAGACATCCAAATGGTCAAGACGTTACCATCCTTTGCAATGGCTGGTTGTTCAAAACACACTTTGATTTTCCCTGCTGTTTTCAGAAAGAAGGTGGCTGGGAAGTTTGAAGAGACTAGGGTCTCAGCATCCATATTTGCTCTAGCACACTTGCAAAATGCAATTTGGAGAGGATCCTTAGCTTACGGATTGTCTCTGTATTGTTTTTCTTGAAACGGATCTTTTGCCCTTAATGAATCCCAACACAGCTGGACAGCTCCTTCGCGGACACTGAGAACCCTCACCCCAAACTGACCCCAATTTGACACCACAAGATGAAATTTTACTGCCTGTTAAAACCATTTCCAGCCTGAAGAAAGAAAGAAAGAAAGAAAGAAAGAAAGAAAGAAAGAAAGAAAGAAAGAAAGAAAGAGAGAGAGAAGGAGAAGGAGAAGGAGAAGGAGAAGGAGAGCAATCCAGTTTGGGGGTGGAAGAAGAGCTGACTGTTGACTAATATACATCTCTACACAGAACACCTAATACTATTATTATTATTATTAATATTGACATTATTTAGGATTTTAAAAAACTTTTCTTTTTGCATTTCACAACAAGATCAGGTGTCTTAAAATTAATTGTGGCTGCAGTTACGCACAGGAGAAAGTCCCACTGAAAATCCGAGGAACTGATTTCTGAAGAAACCTGCTTGGAATTGCAGTAAGAATTTGCAGCTTCAAGAGGAATATTACATCCACCCCACCACAACCTCCTCCAAATGTAAACACTTTCTCCCATTTTTAAGTTCGATTAAGAATTCCAAAAGCATGTATGTATGTATGTATGTGTATATCTATATTTATTTATTTATTTGTATTTCAAGGGGTTAGTGGCAGGTTCTAAATTAAGACATTTAGTGCTCTCAGATACCTATCTTAAGAACATTTTTAACAAACATGGGAGATAAACCTTTTTTTAACTTTTTCACAAAAAGGTATGAAAGAGTTTGTAAATTGTTTGTTTGCTTGTTTGTTTTCACATTATTCCATGTAACTTCAAATCTCCCGGGGAAACTTAAAAAAAAAAATCATCCTGGCATTTTAAAAGAAGAGAAAGATACTGTAACATAAATGTTTAATTTAAGGAGAAAGGAGGGAAGAAACAGAAATGAAAGAAGATTGCAAATCTCACCTCGCGGTTTTTAGATGTTCTAAAAATGGTTTTTCATCTACAAGTTTAAGTGAAATAATGAGATCCTTTTTGGAATAATATTCAGTTACTGTAGTCAATACATCCAGCCTTATAGCACAGGAAAGTTGTTCGGGGAACTGCATTCAAGAGGCAAAAGACATTGGCGGCAAAGCACTTCTTGCTAAACATATCTAAGCTGAGACAAATATATCCGCGGTCGGATATATTTTTTTCTGTTTGTAAAAGAAAGCATGTTTTAAAAATGTGTTCTAGAATGAGGAACTGTGTTGACAGTATTGCAACAATGCGATTCCCAAGGAATTTAGGAAAGTGACATTTTCGGAAGCAGGCGGAGGTGGGGGGGGGGGGCCTCAGAAAGTACCATTCCTGACAAAGTAGATCCCTTTTAAAGCAATCTCTTAGAAGAGTCCAGCTGCAAAAGTAGGAAAGGATTTGCATAACCTACTGCTCTGTAGGTCTCCGGGCACCCAAAGGATTAACCGAGTATTCATTACCATGAATATCTTGAAGCGCGTTACCGATTTCTACGACAGAGAAGAAAATACTGCAGAACTACCCCCTCCCCCCCCCAAGAAGTCCTTTGCCAAAGGAACCGACTTAAACGCAGCTTGAAAGAAATCGACGTACTGAGGGCGGTTTTACTCACCTTTCTGCACAGATCCGGGCAAATCAGCCACAGAGGGTAGCGGCTGCTCGTAAGAATCGCTTTAATCTTGGAAGCGGTCTTCTAGAAGAAAAGAAAAGTGGGGAGGGGAGAAGGGGGTAGAACAAGGAAAAGCAGACCCCCCTCTCCCCCCCGCCAAGGTGGCTCTTCGGCGCTTCAAAAGAGCGCGCAAGTCAGGCTTAAAAGTCTCGGCAGTACTTTTCCAGCTCTCTCGCCCGCCCGTTCAGGGGCTGCGCTCAGGCTGCGAGCTTGCCAGGCTAAGCGCTCCCAGGAAGCGAAGCCGTGCCCAGCGGCGTTCGTCAGCCTCTCTCTGCTCTATCTTTCTTTATAAGCGAGGGCTGATTTCCCGCAGACAGCATTGTTATGATGGCTCATTTAATCAAACTGTTTAATTGCTCCGGTAATCACTATCATCATCACAGGTACTCAATCATTCATCATTTTGGAGAGCTCCGTTGACCTCGGGAGCTACCTCCCTCGCCCAGAAAAGACTAGCCACGTTTCTAAAGCCGTTCCTCCCTCCCGTGCCTTTGGAGGATTTCTCTCTTCCTCCCCAACTTTCTTTTCCGTGACCTGCCCCTGAGAACGGTTTCTGTCCCGTTCCGGCCCTCTCCCACTCTCTTTTGCTCGCCGGAATCCAGTCTAAATGCGTGGCTGCCGCCGCCGCCGCCGCCGCCGCCGCCGCC